TAAACTCTTGATCTCAGAGTTCGAGCCCCACGTTAGGCAAAATATTCCTGCATTGCAGGTAGACTCCAAAGTTAAAAGTGCAGGGGTAGACACTGATGACATCATTTATGGAAAGGGCTGGGTAAACAGAGAAATCTGAAAGTATCACAAAGATGGTTCTGGAGAAAACTCCCTTGGAAGACTGTTCTGTCACCAGGGAGCCACTCCTGAAAAGGCCCCCTTCTCTGGTTCTCACCAGCCTCACTTCATCCAGCTGGAGGCACTCAGATCGGAGCCTCCCAGGAGGATCTTAAGGTTCAGGGAGGTATATGGTCGTGACTTGCACCCACTGAAACACACTGTACATGCTCAGGAGAACTTGCACCTCTCCTTACCCGAACAACACTCTGCATGTGCTCAGGGGACACCTTAACCTGTCCGTACTGAAATGCACTCTGTACATGCTCAGAAGCATGCCCAGTGCTCCTTACTGCTATGGTAAGTACTTTAATCTGTCCCTTTTGAAACGCACCCTCTGCATGTGTCCATTTCTACACTGAAATTTACTCTGCCCCTGCCAAATTTCAGGAAGGGAATTATATGCAGGGAAACGCACGCATCCGTTCTTCCGACTCTGATGATTCTATGAAGGCAGAGTGCACAGCCATCGCAAGCTCCTCTCCCTTTCTCTCCATTTGCAACACAGATTGTAAGCTCCTCGGGGCAGGGAACTGCTTTGGTTACAACATGCCGGAGCAACAGAACAATAAGGCCTGAGCTGCGATCCTGAGAGGCGTGTGCGCTTGGGGGGGGGACAACCGCCAGGGCTGGGCTTTTTGTGATCCTTCGGCACGCACCCGAGCCTCGCTGGGCCCAGATCCTGCATCCCTCTTGGAACAGGCTCTCCCCCACTGCTATGGGCCTTGGGCTCAGCCGCTTCAGTGAGATAATGTCTGTGCAAAGGGACCTGTTTGCCTTGGCAAGGGGTCTGTGAGCTTCCTCCAAGCTTTCCGCCCAGCTCAGCTCAAAAAGCTCTCCTGCGTGTGGCTGTTTCTGACTCAGGCTGAGAAGGAAGGGAACAGGATTGGGAAGCGGAGCCAGGAATTTTTCCATGGGGGAAGGACGAAGCTCCTGGCTGCGCACTGGGTGGGGCGAGAGGGTCTGTTCAGGTGAGGCCAGGTGAGTGTGAAGCGAGGAGGAACACGGTGAGCTCTTCTCCCGCCCGTCAGGCGGCAGCCAAACAGGTTGGGCCTGTGTGTGTGACCCCACCCAGTTACCTGCAAGTGGGGGGGGGGCGTTGAGCAGGGATAAGGGAGTCTACACCACCCTGCCCAGAATGGCTGGAGAGTTTCCTTTGCATGGATCTGAGGCTGGGCACTTTGCTGGATCAAACTGCTCCCCCCCCCATCTGCACCCCACAACCAGCTGTGGGGCAGGGTCCGTGGTTCATTCAAAGCACTCCTTGCACTCTGGAGCCTGGGCTTATTTCATATTGCATAATCTAAACGGCTGCCGACGCACATTTAATGCACATGGCTTCCCCTGAAAGGATCTGGGAACTGTAGTTCACCCCTCACAGAACAGGTCCCAGCACCCTTGAACAAACTACAGTTCCCAGGATCCCATAGCCTTGCACTCTAGAATCATATACAGTGGTAACTCGGGTTAAGAACTTAATTCCTTCTGGAGGTCCATCCTTAACCTGAAACTGTTCTTAACCTGAAGCACCACTTTAGCTAATGGGGCCTCCCGCTGCTGCTGTGCCGCCGCCGTGTGATTTCTGTTCTCATCCTGAAGCAAAGTTCTTAACCTGAGGTACTATTTCTTGGTCAGCGTAGTCTGTAACCTGAAGCGTCTGTAACCTGAAGTGTCTGTAACCCGAGGTACCACTGCAGCAGGCAAATCTTGAAGGTGGTTTGTGGATATGACCGCCTTTCCATGTGCCTCTCTCTCTGACCCCCCCCACCCCCAGTTCTGCAATTTATTGAAAATCATTCTGGATCCATTAATACAAAACACATCTGCAGTGTGTTCAGAGTCCACAGAGGAAAGAATTCAGAGATCCTCTTCCTAAATATTTGCTGCCAATCTTCCAGGCTTTGGTGTCCCAGGAGTCTTGTCTCTGCTGGCCCTTCGATCCCAAAACACAAGGAACCTAATCTCATTTTGCTTCTAGTGGGGGGGGGGTCCACCAGATACAGTGGTACTTCTGGTTACGTACTTAATTAGTTCCGGAGGTCCGTACTTAACCTGAAACTGTCCTTAACCTGAAGCACCACTTTAGCTAATGGGGCCTCCTGCTGCTGCCGCTGTGCGATTTCTGTTCTCATCCTGAAGCAAAGTTCTTAACCCGAGGTACTATTTCTGGGTTAGCGGAGTCTGCAACCTGAAGCATATGTCACCCAAGGTACCACTGTATCCCCCCCTTGCCCCACTCCCTCCATTGTCAACCACTTTGTGGGATATCTTTGGGAGAAGAAAAGGTTGAAGAGTAAACATTACACAAATCCAGAGTGGAGCCCCTAAGAAGGTTGGGTGGCGCCTGGTACGTCCCCTTTTGGCAATTCCTGCAGCCAAGCTGGAGCCAAACGTCTTACTCTGCTTTCCTCTGGGCCACATAAGCGATGCTAAGAAGGGGGTCTTGTCATTGGGGCAGCCCAGGACCCCCATACACCCTGCCCACCCCTGGGAGGTCACTTTGGTGCTTACAAAGTTCCCACTCCCTTCTCAAACTCCTGGGTCGCATGCAGGACTCCAGATTCCAATTGGATGACCCTGACCAGCTTCCCCCGACCCTTCTTTAACCCTTCACAGGCCCAATGGCAGGAGTTCTGCTGCCCAGTTGTTAACCATGTAATTATAGCCTTTCTCAACCTGCGAGTCCCCAGATGTTGTTGAACTACAACTCCCATCACCCCTAGCTAGCAAGGCTAGAGCTCAGGGATGATGGGAGTTGTAGTCCAACAACATCTGGGGACCCACAGGTTGAGAACAGGTACCCGGAGAATGCGGATCACATTCTGAGCAAAGTAGCATTTTCAAAATCTCTCAACAGAGTCCTCATCTGCACGATAATTCATTTGATGCAGTTAAAGGTAAAGGTAAAGGGACCCCTGACCATTAGGTCCAGCCGCGATCAACTCTGCGGTTGCGGCGCTCATCTCGTTTTATTGGCCGAGGGAGCCGGCATACAGCTTCTGGGTCATGTGGCCATGGCAAACCAGAGCAGCGCACGGAAACGCCGTTTACCTTCCCGCTGGAGTGGTACCTATTTATCTACTTGCACTTGACGTGCTTTCAAACTGCTAGGTTGGCAGGAGCAGGGACTGAGCAATGGGAGCTCACGCCGTCGCGGGGATTCGAACTGCTGACCTTCTGATCGGCAAGTTCTAGGCTCTGTGGTTTAACCCACAGCGCCACTGTAAACAGTCACGGCTTCCCCCAAAGAACCCAGGGAGCTGTAGTTAGTTAGGGGTGCTGAGAGTTGTTAGGAGACCCCCCTCTTTCCTTCTCCCCAGGGATCTCGGGGAATTGCAGCCCTGCGAGGAGAACAGAAGTCTCCACAAAATTCCCAGCAGCCTTTACATTTCCCAGGATCCTTGGGGGGGAAGCCACACTTTCAAAAGCAGCATCAGAGTGCTTTGTAGTGCAGGCGGGGCCTAAGTCCCTTGAAGCAGAAATGTAGCCTTTTGGACTTTGAAAGCAAAACCATCCCCTCCAGTTCCAACGGTCCGGCTACGCATGCCAATGCTGGCACCGCCTAATCTCGCCCGGTTGAGTGGGCTCCGTAGAGGCCGCTTATTCACTTTCTCGCAGGAAGAATCCAGGGCCTGGGAGCTCGCTTGTTCACCTCTGCCCTTCCCCTCCCATTTTCCTTTCCTGCCATGCCTTTCTAAAAAGCAGCAAGCTGCGCACAGGGCTATTTCATTATTATTGATTTGCAAGAAGCAGCTCTGGAGAGCCTTTCCGAAGGCCAGGCTAGGTTCTTGCTCCAAAGGAACGGCTGCATAAATACAAGAGGAGGAGGGAGCGGTGGGCCTCCACGTGGCCTGTAGATGGTGCTTAGGGCGTGTGCGCGCTTGGGGCTGATCCGGAGCCAGATGGCTTCGCTGCGGGCTGCATCATCCAGGCCAAGCGCTGCGGCGCAGGGGGGGGGGAGGAGGAGAAGGGGGTGACCAATCCTCCCCCCCCCAAGTGGGAAGTCGTGTGTCCCCCCCCCCACTTTCCCCTGCCCCACCGCCTGAGGATTAAATCATCCTTTCCGCTTGCAAACTTCTCTTCCGCAGCCTCGGATGATTCAGCTGTTCCTAGGACTCTCCGCAAGTGACCGAAATGACGCCCCCCCCAAAAAAAACCCCTACCCAGGCCGGATCTCCAGTCCCCCCTCACCCCAAGTTTGCAAGAAGCCCGTTAACCCTTGCAAAGATTCCCAGCAAAGGGGAGAGGAGGAGGGGGGGTGGAAAGCCTTTGCAAAGAACCCAGGCGTCCGGCGGATAAAGGGGGGGGGGAGGAGAGAAAGGGATCTGATGGCCGCCAGCTTTTACGACCTGAAATAACCCTCTCCCCTCACCCAACCCACCCAGGCGCTTAGGAGGCGGGTGCGGAGGGATGAAGGGCGGCGGATCTCGCCAGTGGGAGGCGAGGGATCGCCCGCTCCGTCCAATGGCGAGGCGGCGCAGGCGGGATCGTCCCCGCTGCCTTGGGAAGAGGAGGGGAAAAAAATAGGACGCGAGAGGATGAGATGGCGAGTGGAACTGCGCGAGCCAGGTGCGGAGAAGGCGGGGCGCCGGGAGGCTCGGGGGCGGGGCTTGGCGCAGGTGGGGGCGGGGCTTGGCGCAGGTGGGGTGTGTGGGGGGGGTACACGGGCGCGCAATGTCGGGGGTGGGGGTTGGAGAGCGGGGGAGGGCTGGCCTCCTTTTCCGGGTTGCGGGAGGCTAAGGTCGCCTGGCGCAGCTGGGTTGCTAAGCTGGAGGGGGGGCGGGGGGAGGAAGGACAGGTGAGCCGGGGGCGTGGCCAGGACAGGTGAGCCGGGAGGGGGCGCAGAGAGGCGGAGGGGATCGTGCGCGACACTCCGCCGCCGACACCGGCCAGCGCAGGCACGCGCGCCAGAGAGATCCCGGTATCTATTGAAAAGTGTCCGCGGAGCGTCCCGAGAAACCCGGCCGGGAGGGGAAAATATTGGGGTGAGTCCGATCCTCCGCGGCGGGGCGCCGATCCTCTGGGGATGGGGGTTCTGGGTCCCAAAACTGACCCTCACCAGGAATTTGGAAATTCACCCCCCCCCCAATTTCTTCTTCGAAACTTCCCCTCTGCTTCCCGGAGATTTAAACGCACACGCGGGGACCCCGAGAGCAGAAATCGAGCCCCACATAACAAGCTGCGTGGGGTGGCTGGGCGGGGATTTCCTTATGGCTCTTTTTCCTCTCCCCCTCCTCAAATCCTCCCCACTACCCCCCCCCATCACCTGCTTTCCTTAGATCCCTTCTCTCCCCCCCCCTCCCCCCTTCCCAATAAGAGGTGATGTTAGGACGCAAAAAGGCACGTTGGGGATAAGATCAGGGCAGGCGTGATCCGTTTCCCTATCCCAGTTTTTTAAAACCTGATTTTGTCGGGGGGGGGGGAGGGCAATCTTTTGGAAGTCACGCCCGTTTATTCTCTCCCTGGCTCCATACCAATGATTGGAGCCAATGGTTTGTATGGGTATTTGTTTCTGTGGATCGAGAGTTATGTTTCTGGGGAGGGGGGTGTTCCCCTCTTTTTTGGGGGGGGATTACTCCACCATTCCAGGGTTTTTTGAGAGTGGATGAACTCTGTCCCTCCTTTGACAGGTTCCCTGGTTACTCCCCCCCCCCACTTCCTTCTTGAGTTTGAAGATTCCCAGCTTGGGGGGTCTATTTTTACCAATTGCTAAGTTTGTAGACGTTCAGCGCATTGAAGGATGGACTTAGGGGGTGCTTGGTTCGCAAAGGTTTCCTGGCAACGTGGCTGGTGCCAGGTCTGGGCCTTGGCGACATCGGAGAGGTAGGGATCCTCTCCACTGTTTATCCTTTGCCCTCTCTGCGCCGTGGGTTGGCACTGCCCTGGCATAAACGGTGGGCATGTTTGTGTGTGTCATTTTTTCACCGTCATATGCCACCCGCACCCTCTGTCGCAAAATCTTCTTGTCCAGGCAGGCAGGTATTGACTCCTTGCCAGGGGTGGGCAGCATGTGCCCGCCAAAAAGGCGTCGTTCAAATAATGGTGGAGCCGGTTTTAATTGTTGGAGCTGTTAGGTTTGAATAGGGGTGAGGCATGACTGTGGCTTGTCGGTGTCCTCATATGAGCTTGGGATGGTGCTAAGGGCAGTTGGGCATGGTTGGAGGAGAGCGGGCAGTGCCCCACAAGTGCCCAGTTGGTGGACTGTAACCTGGGGAGGGACTTTATTAGGACGAGAGCTTCCTCGTTAGCTAGAGTTGCTGTCAGGCTTGTGTCTTACGTTGCTACAGCTGCTGGATTCCTTGCTTCTGTAGCAGTGGCGTAGCGTGGGTTGTCAGCACCCGGGGCAAGGCAAGTAATTTGCGCCCCCTAACCCGTGGATTTGCACCCCCTAACCTGTGGATTTGCCCTAACCCCAGATGTTGCACCCGGTGCAGCCGGCCCCCCCTGCACCCCCCACGCTACGCCACTGTTCTGTAGGGTGGACCCCAAATACCTTACCCACTGAAGCTAAGACCCTGCCATTCTTGTGTGCACGAAGGAGCAGGCGTGGCATCTGTGGCTTCGGCGCTGCCAGGGAGGGAGGGGCCCAACTGGGATCTCGTCCCATGTGCATCCCCGCTTCCCACTCTCGTACCACCCGCAAGCAGGGAATGGATGGCAAGTCAACAGAAAGCTGTTTTACCCGCTTGGCACACGGGCACTGAAAGCGGGCCTTGTCTCAAATGCAAAAGTGCCCTTTGGAATCCAAAGGGTATGATTCTTAAGGTGCCCGTTTTGCTAAAGTGGTGCTTCAGGTTAAGGACAGTGGGTGAATTCTTTTTTCTTCCCTTTTCCCTTTGGGCCAACTTTACTAGTTGGACTCTGCCCTCCAAGTTACACCCAGCCCCACTGATTACCCTTCCCTCCCTTACAGGGCTGTGTCTATAGGTGTGCTCACCTTGGCAAGCCTGGCAGCAGCCTGCGAGTTTCCTACAGGCAACTGTTTGGCTGCTGTGAGAACAGAATCATGGACTTGATGGGCCATTATGTCTGATCCAGCGGCCGGCTTCCTCTTCTGTTCTTACTGGGAGCCTTGATTCTTGGGGTGGGACTTTTGCTCGGGAGTTCTCCTGACCTTTCGGCTCTCCCCACCCTCCGCTGTGTCCTGAAACAAGTTAGTAAAGTTAGGACAAAGGGGGAGCTTCCTTCCCTCCCTCCTCCACTTTCAGTGGAATGAAATGCAGCTTATGGTCCAGACAGTAAAAAAAGCAATATTATTGGTAGCACTACAAAGAAAGTGCTTCACACATGTTAAATACTTCTTACTTTTAGGAAGTCTGCTTCACATCAAAGTTGATGAGTGAGAATTACAAGGACGGGGAGAAAAAGGAAAGCAAATGTGATCATTTGAATCAAATAAATATTTTATTTTATTTTCAAGTACATATAATTTTTAATGGCTCACCCAGTAAAACTTTCAAATCGATCGTGAGATGACAATGGAAGATTCCTTAGTTACGTATTTTAAGCTAAGGAATCTCCCATTGTAACTGTGGTGGTTTCCGAGTCTGGCAGAGTTGATCCTTGAAAACAGCCCTTTCCCACTTTTGTTTCTTGCAAACACAGCCCACAAGAAGGAGACATCATCCTCTAACCCCTTGACAATAAAACTATTCCATCCGTCTTATTTCAGCGTACAGAATAATATGGCCAAACGGGTCTGATTGATAAGACTGATGAGTATAAGCTATTATGTTCCGATGTAGAAATGTCCTTTTTGTTGACTGGCAATCTCTCCTATGCTGGTGAGTCTAGTTAATGACCCAGATTAGCAACTGGGAATCCAGAATTTGGAAGTGGTGGTTATTCCTGGAGACTTAACGCAGGGTGTGATCTTGCCTGTGTGGCATCAGAATTTTGTGGGGTCTTTGACAGTTGTGTGTGTGTGTGTGTGGATCCGACGTTCTCTTCTCCCTTATCGCAACATCTTAATACTTTTTTAACATCATTGAAATGTGGATAGCTCAGTGGTAGTGCATATACTTTGCATGGAGAAGGTATTGGGTTCAGTTCTTTGGCGTCTCCACTGCTACCAGTTTTTTTCCAAACTTGGGTCCCCAGCTGTTTTTGGACTACAACTCCCATCACCCCCAGCTAGCAGGACCAGTGATCAGGGGTGATGGGAATTGTAATCCAAAAAAAATAGCGGGAGACCCAAGTTTGGGAAACCCTGGTGTACAGAACTGGATGTACCAAAGGCTGTTTGCTATGTTCCTATAAGGCTCTGCTTCTTATGCCGGCTGGGAGGTCCCTCCCCAAGATAGATTATTTTATCACTCTGATTTTGACTTCTGTGTTTATATTATCCTGTCTAAGTATATATATTGTGATTTCTGTTTCACAAATGGGATGCTCTTAGTTGTTCTAAATGCTTCGGTTGGACACTGCCCAGAAAACCAGAGAACAAGTGGTGACCTGTATCCAACTAAGTTATACTCAAAGTAGACCCACTGGCCCAATGTTAATCATGTCCATTCATTTCGCTGTTTCTACTCTGGGTATGATTAAGCTTGGATGCGACCCATAACCAGCCGTTCCGTCTCTGCGTTCTGTCCTCCGCACCCACACAATGCTCACTGCCCCAGTCGGGACGTGGGTCACATCCATACCATACATTTAAAGCACTCTTATGCCCCTCTTCCCCCCTGCTCCAAAGGATCCTGGGAACTGTCAAGGGAATTGTAGCTTTGTGAAGGTGAGAACCACAGTTTCTAGGATTGACAGCCAATCCCGCTTCCCAGGGAGCCCTGAGAATTGTAGATCTGTGAGGGCAAAGAGGGAGGGGTCGCCGAACAACTCTCTGCCCCCCGAGCAAACTACAGTTCCCAGGATTAACAAGCAATCTCACTTCCCAGGGAACTCTGGGAACTATAGCTCAGTGACCGAATGACTTCCAGCCCCCTTAGCAAGCTACGGTTTCCCAGGATTCTTTGGTGGAGGGCAGCCATGGCTGCTGAAGTAATAATAATTATAATTTATTATTTGTACCCCGCCCATCTGGCACAGGAGAATGGACCGTAAGCTCTTCTCGTGTGTAAAGGTGGACACCCAGTTCTTTGCCCACCTGTGCGCCAGAGGAGGAAAGGTGACGATTCCCGGAGGCAGCCTGCGAGGCGAGCCAGCCTCACCCGCCTGTTTGCGCCGACCCACCTCCCTCAGGGCTCTGAACCGGCAGCGCAAGGGTGAGCAAGGTGGGGAGGCAGCTAAGAATACACCTGCGCCATGTCCCCAGGTGTCCTCCTCATGTGCTGGAGGTGGGGGAAGGGGGGGCTTGTGAGGCAACAAAGTGGATTGTAGGTTGGGGTGTGTGTGTGTGTGTGTGTGTGTGTGTGTGTGTGTGTGTGTATGGGGAAGAGCAATAAATAGCTGGCAAGGACGTGAGGACGACTGAGAAGGTAAATGCTCGGATTAAGGCATCCCAAAATTAGTAAACTGAGCCCCCCAGCACCTCTTTGGTTTTAACTCTCCCTTCTCAGTTTTGTTTTGTGTGTTTGTTTGGTAAGATCTGTGCACCGCTCGATGGTTTTTTAAAAGAGAAAAAGCCTCAAAACGGTTTACAGAAACAGTTAAATGATTGAGAAGACCGATTAACGACAATGGTTTAAAACATTACAAAAATTAAATTAGAATGACGGAATGCTGGGTGGTATTCAGCTATGCTTTGTCCATTATGCGTGATTAAAGCTCATTCATTTCAGTGGGTGCTTGTGAGAAAAACGTAACTGAATGTCACTAGCTTTTTCGTGATGATGGTGTTTTGTGCTGGCTGGTTAGCCTTTCCTCTGAGCATGTGCGGAGTATCAGATACTTATTTGCCTCAGCCACCAGCCTGTTCGTGTGCAAAGATGTGCACCTATAAACACAACTAAGCAGATGAAATGGCCACCAATATATGAGAATATTCTGTTGCCACCACCTCACGTGCAGGGTATTTTTCTGTAAAGTC